GTTAAAGTTCAGGATATCACTAATCAATCAATTAACCGAGCATCACATAGACGTATCTCGGTTCTGTATCTTAACATATCTGCCCATGATATTCCTTGGCCCCATCTCCTTGGTTGTTTCTTTGTTCTGAGTATGAGGTTCAGTTCCTCAATTGCATTCATAGATTGCGCACACATATCACACACCTGTCACGCCTGTCAGAGATTATGGAAAGAGCACAGCTATAAAACACGAGGGACTAGCATTCAATATTGAAGCCAGAAATGTCGTTGTAAATGCAATATATTCTTGATTGAAGCTATTGACGTGATATTAGATCGTTAACTCAATTCATACTCACTTTTTACTTTCCCATATACGTAAGTATATACGAAGTAATATACGTAGTATAGGGAAAGTTATGTAATCTTCCGTCCCTCTGTCCGTGCGTCCGTCCATCTGTCCTCCGAACCTCTGCCCGTCCGACCGTCTGTCTGTCCGTCCGTCCGTCTGTCCGTCCGTCCGTCAGGTGTCTGTGAACATACTATGGCCTAAACCATGCGTAGGAGTTTTTCCAAATTAAAAAAGGGTGGATCTAGCTCGAATCAAATCTTTGAGATTTTGAAAAAAGCTTCAAAATTTGGGGGTACTTTACATGAAGCCCCCCGGACATTTTCAATTTTTTTTCAAAAACGGCTTCAAATTTTTTCTTTAAATTTCTTGTAAGATTAGAGCAACATAGACTTATAAAAGTGTCGTATGTCGTATTTCCACGGTCAACTATGAATTTTTGAAATTTTCAAAAGTATGAATTTTTTTCGGTGTCTTCCTACAACTACAAAATTGAAGATAGAGAGTTTTTCTTCAAATAAAATTTTTTTCTTCATAGTAAGTTCTTTCATTAAGGTCAGGTACATTTTATGAAAATTTTAGTAGTTTTCGCGGAATATTGCAATTTTAAAAAAATTACAAAAACAAGATTTTCTCACAAAGGGCTCCAATTTTTTTTTTAACTTTTGGTAGGGATAGTGCTAAATGTACTGTATAATATTACATAAACGCCATATTGCTCTATTCTTTGTTGTTGTTTTTTCAAAAATTAAAAAAAAATTGACTTGTCTCTCATGTCGTTAATATTTATACTAAAGGCAATTTTGTTCACATTATTGTATTTATGAGTACATGTGCTTTAAATAATGTCATATAAAGTTGCTCGACAACTCTATCCCCTTCGTTGAAACCTAGCTCGAACCTCCGCATTTTCTGAAATGCTCAAACGCCATTTTCTCCACATTTTTCTTCGAACATTTCGAGCGAATAGTGCTAATTGCACTCTTTAATTGACGTAAAGTTAATTTAGGCTTTTTTCTCCAAAAATTACACAAATGTAAATTTTTTGAAAGATCTCTCATGCTATTAATACGCACATTTCCAGCAATTTTTAAACACTATTGTGTTTGTGAGTTGAAGTACTTAAAGTGACTTCAAATGAGGTTTTTCGAAAACAGTTTCCGTGAAATTTCCGTGAAAAAGCTTCAAATTTCGAATTTACAGTAGCGCTTAAACGACAGTTTTTTAAAAAACGGCTCCAAATGTTGAGTTCCGTGTCACTCGTTATCTGAAGAATTATATTTATTATAAGCAAAGGGAATAACAAAATAGAAATAAAGACGTAAATTTCGATGAATGTAATGCGCAGTGACAATCTTATAAGATTTCCGTTGGCAGTCTTGTTTACATCACAGAGCTTTTCCCTGCAATGAGGTAACTAAGCCTCCGGTGGACCGATCGCATCGCATTGGCTCCTTGGACTTTTGCCAGACATAGAACGCCAGGAAGAAAGCCCCGCAAAGAAATCTCGCAAATTGAATTGAAAATTTAATAATATAGCTATTTATTTTACACGTACGTAAAATATGCTATTAGGTGCAACATAGTTTTTTATCACGAGCTTTTTAGGGTGAATAAAGAACTAAAGAGCACATAATGGCCTATTACCCTCATATAATATGTAATATTTAATCTTATCCCATCGCCTTTTAACGATTTTGACGTATTTTTAGCAATTTATATCTCTATGATTTATGTGTTTGTCTACTGCGTATATGATATGAATATTGACTTCGGTGAATGCAATGGCGTAGTGTGCTGCATTGGCGGTGAGCAGTCATTCAAAGTGGGACGCGGATGATGCGCAATGGAGTGAAGAAATTCCCGAAAGTTGCAGAATTGAAAGCGCTAAAGCTGGGGAGGACGAAGATGTAAAAGAAGACGAAACAGAGAAGGATAAGAAGAAAGAAGAGGAAAAAATAATGAGAAAAGGAAGAAAGAGAAGAAGAAAAAGAAAGAGAAGAAAGTGGAGAACGTTTTTGTGTGTTCCTTTATGAATGCAATAATGTTTGTGTGTATCATATTGTTGAGTGTGAGAGCGTCTTTCTCTTCTGTTTGTGGTGAGAATTGATAGGTACTTTATTACTTTAAAGAGAAGTTTCACTAACTGCAAACAGCTAGTAAAAAGTATACAAAGGAGATCGGATAAGATAAAGAATGTTATTATTATGCTCTTCTCATGCTGATGTTTTCTTAATGACCAACATTCAACATTACATTTAAATATTGTTATTTTTACCTAAAGTTTTGTTTTAATTGGAAGTATCACTTAACAAGTACTTTATTTCATTGCTTAAAGCAGGGCCGTCCAACGAGCGCTAAACAGGCTAAACCGGCGGAGGGCTGCAGAGTGCGGTCGGGGCGCTGGAGCGACCATTGATGCTCCATTTACAGTGTTACTGATCGAGGAGAAATGACGGACGAAGCGAATGGTTCACCGAACAAACAGTTGGGTCGCAATAGTTTTAGAGTTGTGTATGAAGACCTGAACCTTTTTGACGATTGTGGGTAGGCCAAATTACAAGTATGCTGCAAAGAACTCACTCACAACAAGAAATCTAATATTCTGTAGCATTATGCGGCGAATCATGACGCATTCACTGAATTATTTTTTTAAGCTAGAGGGACCAATAACGATAAATTAATAAATAAACGCGTTATTTTTTTCTTTTCTTTATAATTTATAAGAGAATAATTATCAAGATATTTATAGCCCGTGTAACGGAAATGAATAATTTCTTCCGATCTTTTTATCTACTTAGGATTTTTGTGATAAATCTAATTAGTTATACCCTTTCACCAAGGAAGAAGTTCCACAAACAGCATCTGCAATGTGCCAAAGCTACAAAATTGCACACTAAAGAACGATACAACTGAAAACATTTACAAAAAAGAAATCAAACATTCAATTCTAAAAAAGGAAAAAATTCATTTTGTCATATTGTTTTTCATTTTTTGACATGCAAGTGTGAAAACATTTGGAAGTGGTGGCATCCCTTTTGCTTTTATATTAAGCACTTTTTGACCAACACCTTTCTCCAAATGGGGACACTATGGTCCCCAGATTAGGCATATCTTGGCGTGCGATTGTATTCCTTTCCTGTATTCTGTCCGCGGTCCGACCACCACGAAATCTGAGCTGACGTGCTTCTCGGAGCACGGAGCTTGGACAGCCCTTCAAGCTGTTTTATGAGAGAGTGAAATATAATGGTAAAGAAAATTAATTTCGACAGGAAGTAATGATGATTGAATTTAAGTGGATGCCGGTAACATTGTTATGGTCTTCTCTCCGGTACATAAACTTAAGTGATTGGTGCGGGAGTCATCCCTTTTCAAGTACGATATTGCAGAGTCGCGAGAGGTGTGAGGTATTCTAGCTACGCCTTCTGTGCGTCAACGCAGTGAATGACGCCAGACATGACGTCATTCCGGCAGCCAATGGCGTTCAGCAGAGAAACTAAAACGCCCACCAGCGGCAAAGTCGATTTTGAGCATCTTTCCTGGAAACAGCGTTACCAGGAAAATCCCGATGGTCTGCTAATTTATCATCAGGGAAGAGACGATGTCAGCTATGGACCTGTCAAATCTTGTCAAAATAATATTCGTAGTAATCTTAAATATTACAAAATTGTATCATTAATTATATACACAATTTGATATGTATACCATTTTACATTTAAAAGAGCCGAAAAAAATTCCAAAACTCTAATTGGAACTTTTATGGCTTCAATCAAACTTGTGCGCCATTTATTAAACTATGGCGTACGATTTGGAATATTTATCCTTAAAATTCTTCTTCCTAAAATATAAATAATATTATTCTTGCACTGATGAACGAAACATATTCGTCATCGAACGTAATGTAATTTTTGCTCGTGAAGTTTACATATAGGTATTTTTCAAAATTTATTTTCGAACAAACATTTTATTTCAGGGATGATTACAAATGTCTATTTTAAAAAAAGTATTGAAAAGTACATTTAAGAAAAAGAGCAAACATTATTGGCCCATACTCTACTTTATAGCTTTAATATAATTTTGAAATATAGAAGAAATTTTATGAGATGGTTTGTTTTATTGATTCTGAATAGAGAATTCGATGTGATAAGGCAGGTGAATGGTTTAGACAGATATTTTCCTTTCCGAGAAATACAATATCGAATACGGTTTACTTTTATATCTTTCTCAAATGAAAAAATATTTTTCGGGGGAAAAGAACGTATATTCACAGAAATCCAGAAGTTGTGATTTACAGATCATAATTTATTACATTTTATGACCAATTATTTCGCGAGTGAAATGATAATAATATTTTGCTGGCAAAATTACATCGTCAGGAACTTCCTTAATGAAAAAGAATCAGTGACAACATACTTTATTTCATATGTCCTACGACAACCCGCCGTTCAAAGATCGAGAAAGGATTTTTTGTCCTTGTTTGCACGCATGGAACACCAGCACGCGTGCGAAGAGGTTACGTATACTCCCCGCTCATGCAGATGCATCGCGTGACTCCTGGGCTCTCGCTGCGGTTGGTTCAAATTCGCATCACTCGCTCAAGGTGCCGCTGATTTATGCGAATGCTATCTAGCGGGAAGTCGTCGAACTACTCCCCGCAGCGAGCGCTTGTGTCTGGCTGGCGTGATGCGTATAAGAACGGACAACGGCAGTCGTGCGGTAGTTGCTTGCCGGTTGTTCCTCGGGTAGTACATGGTGTGAGCTTCACGGTTGGTTGACGCAGTCTTTGAAGTGAGAGCTTGACAGCACATCCACCATGGGCAAAGACTTGTATAATCCGGACCCATCTCTGTCCCGAAAATCATATATTAACTCCATGAATCAATACCGAGACATGTACAAACGTTCAATCGATAATCCGGACGAATTTTGGAGCGACGTTGCCAAGCAATTTCATTGGGAGACACCGGTTTCGACAGAAAAATTTTATTCGTACAACTTTGATATCTCCAAAGGACCAATTTTCATAAAATGGATGGAAGGAGCCACTACAAATATAAGTTACAACGTTTTGGACAGAAATGTAAAAAATGGCTTGGGAGACAAGATCGCCTTTTACTGGTAAGTGACATTGCGCGAACGCGAATGTTTTTCAAATTGACGCACTGGACTACAAACAAGTTTAAGAGAACTGTTCATGTATGCAGCATTTTGCTGTTGTTAATGGACTAAAATGTCGATTTTCCCATACCAGCATTCTTGGCTTTCTTATTACTTGCCGACTTAAAAACATCATAACATGGAAATGTAGTATTTATGAATTGTCAAAATGCCTCTTTTAAAATGCCGGCACTCGTTCGGGTACTCATTCGCATTATGTCCGTAAAAGTGCGTGCTCCAGTTAAAAGGTGTCAGGTGCATCATTGCAAAATCCTTTCACCCCTCACGGCAGAATGTAGCATGCGATATTGATCGAGTACTATATTCTGTTAATCGCAGTTTGAGTGTGAAAATTGTTTTGTTTTTTCATTTCAAATGAAGTATTTTAATAAATTATAACATCTATCACTCCGTGATTTGACAGTAGTATCTTTCATGCTTTACACGTTGTTTTCTGAGGTGGTTGCACAGTGGGCCATGTGTACAGTGGACAGTGGATGGTCTCCCAGTGGACCTCCGATAAAACAATGATGTAAATTTTCTTGTTCCTGAATATCCGTTGTATGGTGCATTGTGCACGCTTATGAAGCGGAATTTTAATGCTCGGTGCTCGTTTTGCTCTTGGTACGAGAGTATAGAAAATGTGACTTTATATTTCGGTTAAAAAAAAGAGATGTAGCTTGATGAAAGTCATCGTGCTGGAATATTTATGCTTGGAGAAGAGAGGATATAAATGTTCTGTAGTTGTCTATCCATGTGCATGAATGTAGCGAGGGTGGATTCAGACAGTATTTGGGGAAGGGGGAGGCTATTTTCAGTTCGAACACCATCCAAGAATAAATGTAAAAACAATTTTGGGTTTGGGAGGTGGAGCATGGACCCCGTGGTCCTCCCTTGTACCAGCTACTGTAAACATTCACCCTGGTGGCAGACGCGGTTGGTGGATGTTGACGTCTGCCCGACGGCTGTCTGACGATCGTTGGTTCGATTCTGGCACTAGGCATGCATGTCCGTCTCTAGTCGTTCGTGTATTGTTCACAAAGGGAATCGGCATTATGGTGATCTTATTACCTAGGATCCTACATACGCGTCATTTTTGTCGCCCAAGGATTTGCGCGTGAATGGCCCACTGGATATGTCTTAGCGCTATTAGAGAAACTAGGATCAACTGGAATTAGCGCAAAAGGCAAATGGTTTATTTTAATTCATTTTGACGGAACGTGACAATTAGATACCTTTCAGATTTTTTCTTGAAATCCGCATTTTGTCCTGGTTAGGCACGCATAATGTTATGTTTTATTGACAAATGAACAAATTTGAGTTTACACATATTTCATTCAAGCAATGTTTTTTTTTTAATTCAGCTATATAACTGTTGTTACGTCATCATACGCAAGACAATTTATACGTTGTTATGCGCTTTTCGTTACATTCAGTCATTAAGTCTTTAAATTACGCGGAAAGCAAATACACAATTGTAATGTTATTCAATTCCTTCATTTGCAAACAAGTGGAAATCCGCAGTTGTGCAATTTTAAATGTTACGAAATGAATTGGAGCTCCTGCAAGCCATTGCACATCTCTCATTATTACTAGATGAAAGTAAGAATTGCTATTTATACGTTTAATTGGGATTTTTGAAAACAGTCCCTTTCCTAAAATGGAAAGAAGGTGTAATGATGCGCATTTGTTTGTAATGTAACGTAATGTATAATCTAGTGCAAGTGAACGATACATTTTATCGTAATTTGTAATCAGTCAATAAATTCATGTACTACAAATCGCTGTGACTGAAAAGTTTTTTCATTTCAGAGATAATATTTCTTCTAGAACGTGTGTACTGCTATCGAAGGTAAATGGGAATTGTAGTTGTAATGTTTGCCCCATTCCTTTGAACGATAAATGGAATATTACGGCTTCTATTCGTGCGGTCTTAACTTTAAGCTAGATTACTACGGCTATTTCAAGCATGAGAATATAAAATACAAAAAAAAATTGTATAACATTTTATTAGTTTTCTTAGAGAAATGAGTATATTTGAGAAAGAACCGGTCTATGATTATGAACATGAAAGTGGCAAACAAAATATAAGGGTTGAAAAAACTCGCCCACCTATGTGCGCTACCACGAAAAGTACTGCAACCACTTCAGATGTGTGGTTCAAATTTGTTCTCTTTAATTTTCGGAATAAATTTAATTACAATGGACACAGACAAATAATATTCGATGGGATATACGCGAGTACATAAGTGAAAACGAAGCAGATGTATTTTTGTTCAATGTGCTGTAATATTACAAGGAGCGCAGTGCGTGCACATTGCATATTTTTTTGAAATTATGTTCACATAAAAATTAAGTTAAATATAAAGAATTATTTAAAATATATATTCACCAAGAACATGATTGGTCTTTAAAGGACCATCCATTAAATAAATTGGTTCTGCGAGTGGTGTTTACGTATGTATTTAAAAAAATTAAATATGTTTTAATTTGCCTAGTCTTTTTGAAAATGTAGAAAAAAATTTTAAATATTATAGTTCAACATTTCTTCAGTTACTTCATTTTCTTTTATGATTAAATATTATTTTTTTAATATTAATTTTCAAAATTGCTGCACATTATACTCCCAACGCGTCAGATTATTTTTCTGTTTTGAAAAATAATAAAAAGGAGAAATGCAATGACTAACTACGAATAAAGATGACTAGCTTAACATTACTCTACGTTCGACGCCAGTAAGAATTGTTAGAGAACGTTACGAAAAACGTTAGAGATTTTTTTAAATTACGGAAAAATTATCTTTGTAATTTTCAATTTTGAAAAAAATGCAGTCTTAGAATTTAACAAAATTAGTACAATTTCCAAGCATTTCTTCTACTAAGAATACTATATTTTGTTACAAAATGATTCACATTTAATATGGTAATTTTACATATCGTAATTTGGTAACTTGTGTGTCCGCCCGTTTTCACGTTAGATCTCATCCGGTCCTCAATTTGGAACAGGTGAGGGGCCGTTCGGCGCCTATCTACTGGTGGGGAGAGAACGGACCATTTTTTTCTGTTCCTTCCAGAACACAAATCCATAATATTTGTCATATCATCTACAATATTCTGAAAATTTAAGAAAAGTTCTTTTTTTAATTGATCTTACGTTTATGATAAAATTATCGTCTGTGGGGTTTGGATTTTTGGCACTTACCGCATTCCGCCATCCACAAGCTAAAACACTGGCGCTCCCGGTGAATTTCACATTTAACTTTTTTTAAATTAAGGTCGCTTTGTAACTGCTTGGTCATATAGCGACCACTGTGTTTCGTAATATTGGGGTAACTGCATATGGAACTCAAAGGACAACATGAACACTCGCAAACATCCATGCACGAGGCGCGATTGCGAACCCGTGACCACTCGAACCAAGGCAGCCACGGCCTTAGGGACCTCGGCTACCCAGGCCTGCCATTTAAACATTGAAATAGGAGAGGGAGCTCCAAACGGGAGCTCTTTAGCGGAACAGCTAAACGACTTCGTGAAATGTTGTAACTCGGGTTGCTAGATTGGTAAGAAGTCGGTAATCAACCCTTTGAATTTGGAACCAAAAAAGTCGACATTTTAATAAAATTTCTTATTTTATAGTGACAAATTGGATACCTAGACAGTAGTGATAAAATAACTAGTTTCTTAAAAATTTGACATATAATTTAACCCGTCTAAGAAAAGGAGTTTCATTTCACATTTGTTGCTGATCAGTGTGTTCGAGTATAGTCGCAAATAATCGCACTGAAAATAATTGCAATGCTTCGTGGTCTTCATATTATACTGGTGAAGAAATGCATTATTGTATGTGACCACCTTAGCGACTGGGCGTAAACCGGGGGACGCAGACTAAGCTTTCTCGTAGGATCGACTAAAGGTTTGAATAATTCACTTGCGAAATTCATAAAATTGCAAAACAAATAAAATTCTCTACTATCATGTAGTATTGTACTTCAGCTTCTGGGTCAATGACCCCCTCCCCCCATCTCGATCAGGTTTTCGTCCAGTTTCCCTGATCTCAAGCAAATGCTGAGATGGCCCCTTGTTTTCCTTCTGGACATAAATGTAAATTCAAATTAACTTCTCCCCATAGCACGTCATACAGTTTTTAACTGTTTTTGACGTAAATAAATAAATTAAATAAATGTACATGCACAGCAAGTGTGCAAAATCAGATCAAGAATTTGTGTTCATCCCATCTCGGCCTCTCTTTCTGAACAATACAATTTTTTTAATGTAAATACAGTTGGAAATTAACCTCCATTCTCCCAATTCAAATAACTGCGCTCAAAAATATTCACCAAAATATTTCTACCAATTTTCTACCAAAATATAGAATTTCAGTTAAAAAATGGAAATCTGTTGTAGCACGTGTAAGCAATCAATGTTCATGCAGGCATTTTTAGGAATGTTTTCAAGTTTTATACTTGCCACGAAGGCAGCAATCGAGAATTCTAAATAAATTTTGAACAATGCAGCAGATCCAGAAACAACAGTGGAGCGACATTTTAAAACACGAATTACAATAATTTACGTAGGTTGTAACGTTTTTCGGGGCAGCACCCACCGCCCGAGAGAGTAAAGTTGGAGAAATTAAAAGAATAAATAATCCCTCTCATTTGTGAGATAAAGCATACCACTTCTTCCCGCTTCCTATGAAGTATTCAGTCCATACTTTTACACTTTGTCTTGTCTCTGGAATAACTAGTAAGAACATCTCGCATGTGTTCAAGTGACTTCACCGAGCCGTATCGTTTCATTTTTCCTGAAATATTAAAACTTCTAATATCAGATATCTAATATCAAATATCTAATATCAGGGCAGTTGAAATATGTCACTAGAGCGAAATATAAGAGTTGAATCATCAGGAGATTTTCGAAATGTAAATATAAAACATATTAGGTTTGAAGAGTGTTAATTTTTCG